TGCCGACAAGTGGATCTATTCTGAACAAGGACAGAATAGTGTCCGCCATAATATTTATTAAAAGAAAAATAAATAAAAGTCCGCGAGAGAGAAGCCCGACCCGAACCTGTTTTACTTCCGCATTCCTGTCGTTTTGGTCCGCAGCAAAAACTGCACATGTGACCGCAAGTGGGGCTGCGCCGACGCTGCGCCGGTGCTGTCACGCTCAGCGGCTTTGCACGTGTGACCGCTCCACAAAATTTGCTCCGGTGTAAAATATATCGCAAAAAAATATTTCGGTGCAGCGTCGGACCAAATGTGTGTGTGCCGTGTGAACAGGGCTTAAGTGACAAATTCCACACATTTTATCCATCTCAGTGACCATTTTGCCACTTTCTGTCAAACATAATGTTAATCAGAAGGCCCTGTTTAGACTAGTCGAGGTACCTAGAATATATGTAATGTAATGTAATGAAATTAAAATATTTTTAAAAATGCCCCCCCCCCACACACACACACATCTTTGCAATCCGCTTGGTTGTATTTATGTGATGTACAATAACATTGGTGAACAATCAGAATTACTGTTGTCCATGTTAAATACAATACCAGTGCTCCCTGGCATTGGAAAAGCTACCCATTGCTCCGGTGGCATACGCAGAGCTGTCAAATGTTACAGATCGTCAATCGATTTGTTACAGAAATCACCGAACGCTAATTTGCTACACCCATAACACTGGTTCTTTCAGGTATTATAAACCATCAGTTTGATTGCTCAAACAATATAAATCCTCTCCGTCCCTCTCTCACCCCTCACACAACTGCTATCCTTGTCCACAGTCTCGTCACCTCCCGTATTGATTACTGCAATATACTTCTTCTCGGTGTCCATCACAAATTCCTCCATAAACTTCAACTGGTCCAGAATTCTTCAGCCCAGATCATCACGAGAACCCCGTCCGTTCATCACATCACCCCCATCCTCCGACAGCTCCACTGGCTCCCTGTCAAACTTAGAATCAACTTAAAAATACTTCTCTATACATTTAAAGCCATCCATGCAAAAGCAAAGCCTTGCTCTTACTTTCTCTACAATAAGCCGCTCTCGCACAACTCCAATTGCCCCACGGGGATAAATAAAGTTTTCTGAATCTGAATCTGAATCCATAACCTCGCCCCCGCCCCACCTGAGTGATCTTCAAATTTCAGCAGGAACTCACTTCCATCCAAAATCCGCAATATTGATTCTCTTCCCACATTCAAATCCCACCGCAAAACCCACCCATTCAAAATTGCATACTCAATTTTAATTCATCTCTTCTTTTATTATTTATAATTTTATCTGTGGTTTTATTGTTTCTGTTCTTGGTTGTAAAGTGTCCTTGAGTGTTTTGAAAGGCGCTTATAAATAAAATGCATTATTATTATTATTATTATTATTATTACTACTGCTCACTGTGCAGCAGGGTTCCTTAACGAGGTAAAATGAACGAAACATCAAGGAATGAAATATTGGCTGATACATGAGAGACAATGTCTCATTGGTTCATGTGGCTTCACTTTTCCCATCACTAGGCAGAGCACGTTCCCCTCCCATTCATTTTAGAACGCACCCTATATTATAAACCAATCAGCAGCTTGTGCTTGATCGGGTTTCATCTGTGCCACCTTTTTTGGCACAGTCTGAAAAACCGAACGGCACATTGGAACAACGCAATGAGTTTCTAAATGATCAGAGTGAAGAAGAGTGCTCTCAGTGCATATTCCCGAATGCCGTCGAAGTTTTGAAATTAGTGAATAGTCATGCTTATCGGGGGTGTAACGAGACATTTTTGGACTGGTATGATACCTATCGATACAAGGCCAAGTGATTCTACACCATCGATATGTCGTCGTTTTTTTTTTAAACAATTGCATCGAATGAAGGGAAGTTCGATGTTTTGATTCAACATTTTTAATACAGTACCAATGGCTTTTCAGTAAATCAACCTGTACTAATTAAAGGTAGCTCCAAATAAAATAATTTTTTTTCAGTAGACTTTATTTTAAAAGCATCAATGTGGCCAGCATCAATGTGCACTAATCCAGTGGCATCCAATGGAACTCGGCCGTGGCGCAGACACATCCATACATCCATTAAACCGATGTATTGTTACACCCGTCATGTTTATTTGAATCATTAATATCCATCATAATAATCAAGATTATTATTTTTGACATAATCACCCAGCCCTCCTCTGCACACCGGTTCGTTTGTATGCACGAGCCGCTAATCAGACTTGGTTGAAAACAGGCAAAAAAATAGTTGGTAGGTACAGTCAAACCTCGGTTTTCGTACTTAATCCGTTCCAGAAGACTGTTCGAAAACAGAAACCATGTTTCCCATTGGAATCAATGTACAAATTTTTAATCCATTCCAAGTCAAGAAAACAACTTTTATAAACCACTTTATTTATTTATTTATTTTTTTTTTTTTGCAATTTCTCACCATAAACTGTACAAATGTAATCGGAGAGCAGGTAATATGTAAAATACTGTACAAACAAACTGTAATATGTTTTATTTTCACCAATTTTAACATTAACATACTAACATAAAAATTGAAGGAACATTTCTCTCTCTCTCTCTCTCTCTCTCTCTCTCTCTCTCTCTCTATCTGTCGTGGGGCGTGCGCCTATCCCAGCTGTCATCAGGCAGTAGGCGGGGCATTTCGGCATCCCGAACTCCTTCGCCAACACAGACACACGCACACCTGACTCATATTTCGCGATCAAATCTTTCTTCAATTCTATAGTTTTGCGCACTATTTTTCTCTTTTCTTCACCAGGTTTACCACTTCCACTTGCTTTCTTTGGTGCCATGATTAGGGGCTGATACACGAGGCAAAAATAACAGTCCGATATTACGTAGTTCTCACCAAACATGTCTGCTTTAAAAAAAAAAAAAATCTTTATTGAACAATACAAACTCGTCTGCTCACAATGGACACTACACGAGGAAGCTGTTTCTGTATGATTATTGCATAATAATGAGACACCGGACACCAGAGTGTTGATTATGTGCCGCTGTATTGAAAACTGCCGGCTGTAAACAAACTCACGCACTTCACCCGTGCTGCTGGGGCAAACCATTCTCAAAAGAGGGGGGTTTCACTCCCCCAACAGAAGCGTCTCACCAAACACGTCTGCTTTTTTGTTTTTTAATCTTTATTGAACAATACAACCTCGTCTGCTCACAATGGACGCTACAGGACACCAGAGTGTTGATTATGTGCCGCTGTATTGAAAACTGCTGGCCGTAAAAAAACTCACGCACTTCACCCGTGCTGCTGGGGCAAACCATTCTGAAAAGAGGAGGGTTTTACTCCCTCTAACTGAAGCGTCTCACCAAACAGGTCTGCTTTTTTAAAAAAAAAATCTTTATTGAACAATACAAAAACGTCTGCTCACAATGGACGCTACACAGGAAGCGAAGCCGAGAGGAGTGAAGTGACACATTCATGTGCACTCAGTTAGTTCGAGAACCGAAATTTGTTCGTCATCCGAGGCATAAAAAACTCAATTTTTGTTCGAAAATCGAATTGTACGAGAACCGAGACGTTCGAAAACCGAGATTTGACTGTATTACCAACACACCAATTGCAGCCGCTGTCCACTCGCCACCTCGCCGCTCGTACTTGTTTCTGCCAGGGCAAAGAATCGAAATGTAATCATGATTTCTATTTTGGCTTTTCACGATTATAAAAACATTTCAACTGAAGAAAAATCATTAATGTTCCGAATGGCATGGTGTGTGTATGCAAGTTCCTGCATTATTAGAGTACGTTGAATGCATCTGTTTTGCTTGCTGCAGCAGCGAGTTCTTCTGCATTCCCTGAGCGTGCTTTAAAATATTTATTGATGCTCCAGTTGGTCTTGTCTTGAAAATTAAACCCACAACAAAAATAATAACACGCATTGTATATTTAAATACAACACACACTCCGTTTTAGGATTATTGACACTGTAATGCTAATTATGAATAGCAAACGCCATAAATGGAGTAGCACAAATTAGCAGTAGAATTAATGTGAGGGATTCCCCTTCAAATAAGAAATATTCACACACAAAAGCTGTAGTAACACATATTGTACAGACTGTTAATATAACAATGCTCACAAAGACATACTTTTCCTAATCTGTGCAAACCGAGTTATTTTAATAAAGTTCAGTCGCTACTTTCTTCCTTGTTAATCTTAATGTACAGTAAGTCTATCTCCATGCATGCACCACATCACCCCGACGAGACCAAAACAGCCAAGTCTTTATTTTTATATAATGTTGTTATTATTATTATTATTATTATTATTATTATTATTATTATTGTAAATGTGGCTTCTGGTTGTTCTTAGTTATTTTTTATAATTGAGTTTTGGTTGTTGAATAAATGCAAAGGGTGCGTACGGAAATTCACTCTGACGACTATGAGAGTGTGTGTGTGTGTTTGGAGAGGCAGAGCTTGTGATGGGCAAAATGACAGGGAGCTTCAAAGCTTGTGTAGAGTAAAAGTGGGCATGGAAAATGAAGTCGGGTTTGGAGGCGCGGTGTCAGTGACGCTGTAGTCACATGGCCACCTGAACCTGATGTTTCGTGTGGGGCAGTGCGTGTCGAGCGGAAAAGCTCACGTGACGGGGTACGAGTGCCTGCGTTCGCTGGTGAGGTCTTCAGCAGTGTAAATCTGGCGCCAACGTGAAGCGACTCTGACTTCAGGTACTGTATTCAGTTTTAGAGAGAGTGAGAGGGGGAGGGAGAGAGAGAGAGAGAGAAAGAGAGACACACACAGAGACAGAGAGAGAGAAAAAGAGATTATGGGGAGTATTTGCGAATTTTTAAATCTTGAGTTAGCTATTAAATTAATGTAATTTGTCATTCCGGTAGTTATCCATTCCTTCATTTGGAGACACAAAGGGAGAAAGTTAAGCTATCGTCAGTCACACAGTTCAGTTGTGTATAGATAAAGAGTTGAGATTCAGTCATTCAATTTAGTTGCAGTGCAGTGTGTACAGAGTATTCGGAATAGTTTTCGTCAAACATCTATACGCGGTCGGAATTTGGAGGGACATTACACAGGCTTTCATCACCAATATAAACCGCAAAACCACTCCGACCACAATAACATAAGCCGGTCCACATATTTCCACCGACGTAATATAAATCCTCTCCGTCCCTCTCTCACCCCTCACACCACTGCTATCCTTGTCCACAGTCTCGTCACCTCCCGAATTGATTACTGCAATATACTTCTTTTCGGTGTCCATCACAAATTGCTCCATAAACTTCAACTGGTCCAGAATTCTTCAGCCCAGATCATCACGAGAACCCCGTCCGTTCATCACATCACCCCCATCCTCCGACAGCTCCACTGGCTCCCTGTCAAACTTAGAATCGACTTCAAATTACTTCTCTATACATTTAAAGCCATCCATAACCTCGGCCCCCTCCCCACCTGTCTGACCTTCAAATTTCAGTTCCCTCTCGTTCCCTCAGGTCCTCATCTTCCCTCTACCTCTGTGTACCCTCTGCTCGTCTCAGCACGATGGGGTGCAGAGCTTTCAGCCGCTCTGCCCCCAAACTCTGGAACTCACTTCCATCCAAAATCCGCAATATTGATTCTCTTCCCACATTCAAATCCCACCGCAAAACCCACCCATTCAAAATTGCATACTCAATTTTAATTCATCTCTTCTTTTATTATTTATAATTTTATCTGTGGTTTTATTGTTTCTGTTCTTGGTTGTAAAGTGTCCTTGAGTGTTTTGAAAGGCGCTTATAAATAAAATGCATTATTATTATTATTATTATTATTACTACTGCTCACTGTGCAGCAGGGTTCCTTAACGAGGTAAAATGAACGAAACATCAAGGAATGAAATATTGGCTGATACATGAGAGACAATGTCTCATTGGTTCATGTGGCTTCACTTTTCCCATCACTAGGCAGAGCACGTTCCCCTCCCATTCATTTTAGAACGCACCCTATATTATAAACCAATCAGCAGCTTGTGCTTGATCGGGTTTCATCTGTGCCACCTTTTTTGGCACAGTCTGAAAAACCGAACGGCACATTGGAACAACGCAATGAGTTTCTAAATGATCAGAGTGAAGAAGAGTGCTCTCAGTGCATATTCCCGAATGCCGTCGAAGTTTTGAAATTAGTGAATAGTCATGCTTATCGGGGGTGTAACGAGACATTTTTGGACTGGTATGATACCTATCGATACAAGGCCAAGTGATTCTACACCATCGATATGTCGTCGTTTTTTTTTTAAACAATTGCATCGAATGAAGGGAAGTTCGATGTTTTGATTCAACATTTTTAATACAGTACCAATGGCTTTTCAGTAAATCAACCTGTACTAATTAAAGGTAGCTCCAAATAAAATAATTTTTTTTCAGTAGACTTTATTTTAAAAGCATCAATGTGGCCAGCATCAATGTGCACGAATCCAGTGGCATCCAATGGAACTCGGCCGTGGCGCAGACACATCCATACATCCATTAAACCGATGTATTGTTACACCCGTCATGTTTATTTGAATCATTAATATCCATCATAATAATCAAGATTATTATTTTTGACATAATCACCCAGCCCTCCTCTGCACACCGGTTCGTTTGTATGCACGAGCCGCTAATCAGACTTGGGCTTGCTCAGCCCAGGGCTGTAGCTGGTCATGCCCAAGGCAAACTACAGTCATGCCCGCTTCACCGGACCCCCATCTACTATTGGTAGTTCAATTTTAACAAAATGTGAGTTATGTTTTGTACTTTACTTCCGCTTCTTGAATATGTCACAATGATCTAACAAGATTAGCTTATTCTATTAATATTTCCCGTCAGAGATTTTGAATATGAATATTTATCAACTAAAAAATTTGAATTTCTTAAGACTATCATTTTTCCTGAGTTAAAGTCCTTAAAATCTTTTTTGTGGATTATTAGACAATGAGAGAGTCAACTCAGCTATTTTACGGTGATTGATAAAAACGACATTTAATCAACATTTAATGTGATTTACCATTTCAATCACTTTTATACTCTCATCTTGGTGATGAAAAGCATCACTCCTGTCATAATTTACAAATGACTGATTATAGAATAATAATGTTGTGCAATTGAACAGTATGAAAAATTATTTTAATGGTATTACACAATAAAATGCACCACAATAACTGACCCATGGTGTTCTTGGCAGCATTTAAAAAAATATGGAGATCCAGACAAATTGTTCTGGACGGTGCGTTTCTACAGGTTGACAGCTCTGTGTGTGTCTGTTGTGTTCACTGGACAAACATCAGGGCCAAGCATTTAACTGTGCATTCAAAACAGAAGTATAAAGATGATGATGAAATCGATATGCTACTTCTTCTGCTGAAAGTGTACTGTGGTTTCTTTGCAACTTCCTGTCTGCTAGTTTTGATATGTGAATTTAGACTTTTTATATCAAGGTATTACAGTTCGAATGGTGCTTCCAGTTAATTTAGTTGAAAATCCACTCATTGACGAGAACATATTGTTAAAAATGGTCGAAATTTACATAAATCATGGTATCTTCACTCTTAGATGCGAAATAAAAATACAGGGAGCTTTACTCGACCTGTAACATTAATATCGTTCTTCATATTGTCTTGGAAAGATACAGTACCGTATTGGCCCGAATATAAGACGGCCCTGATTATAAGACAACCCCCTCTTTTTCAAGACTCAAGTTTGAAAAAAAGACTTTTTGAACACCAAATTAATTTTTATACAGAAAATAATTACAGTACATCTGAAACAAATGATAATAATATATTTGAGAGAAGAAGAATGTTATTTTGCCTCATTCAAATCTTAATATCCGAAGATTTAAATATGTAAACTAACGTGCAATCACATTCGTACTGAATGGCTTCTGGTTTTTGAAATGTAAATTACATCATAACTGCCGGTTAACCTGGCCGATCTTTGACCCACTTTTCTCCAGATTGTCGCTACGTTTCTCCATTTTCTGTTATCTCTTCTATTATTTTCTTCTCTTTTTTTTCTTACCACTATTTTTTATTTTTCTTCTTCGTGCTACCGCTATTTTTATTTTTATTCTTATTCTTCGTGACAGGGGTTCGCCTGGCCTGTAGGGTCAAGTTCAGCATTCGCTTCAATGGTATTTGGCGCCATCTAGCGTCATGAATGGGTATAATGTTTCGAGCCAGAATATAAGACGACCCCCACTTTTTCAGTCTTATTTCAATGCAAAAACACCGTCTTATATTCGGGCCAATATGGTATATCATGTCTGTCCTGACGTCCACTGTGAGTTTGTTCCCTCTGTCTAAGTCTATTGATGTGTCCAGGTCCAACTGGGTGTCCTGCTGGAGTCTACCAGAGAACTGATAATTCATGGAGCCCTCTGCCCCAAGGGGCTCTGGCAGGGGTACAGGAATGATCAGGTGTGTTGATATTTAGTGGAGACTGCACATGATTCTTTTCAATAACTTTTATTTCTGAAAATATGTTGTATTTTGCCCAAAAATATAGTTTTCTTTCATGTCTGCTTGCCAATTGTTCCGATCTGTCTGTATTACATTGCGGGCAGTTTCTATTTTGTCCGTGGTTACGAATGAGTCGAAAATGTTCCACAGAGGAGCGAGCGAGCAGGTATCATGTGCTTCACTAAGTACCGCGGCTTGTGATTGGCTGACGAGATTTGACCTCTTCTCACTAATCTCGATATTGGTGGTTTCTGATGTCTATGTGTCATCCTTATTGTAAAAAAAAACAAAAAAAAAACGCTCAATGGAGCATCCCTCCGGCAGAGTTGGTAGACACTTTGGCAGGTAGACACGGCACCGTGTTTCGGCAGGGACTTCTTTCAGGCCTCCGTATCTAACCTGCTGCCGAACGCAGAATTTCTCTATGCATTTCATCTGCTTGTGGATGTTATGAACTGCGGTCTCTTTTGCTACATTCCCCTGCACGTTTTGAAGAGGCTGGCGCAATAATCAGTGAAATAATCAATAAGATAATCGATTCTTAAAAGATTAATTTGTGACAGACCTAGGTAAAATCAAGTAAAATGGGGCCATCAAGACGAAAAATACCATTCATGTTACAAAATACACATAGATTCATGTACAAAATAGACAGCAGGTGAATGTAGCATTCTGCAGAATACACACGGGGTAAGTTAAAGTGCCATCTTGCCTGTACTGAATTCAGTCGGCAAAACTGACCTTATTAACACACTGAATAAGAACATTCTATTTTTCTCTGTCGATGAAAGGAGGTAAATGTGTAACATAAATATATAGAAGAAGTACTGTCATGGAGAAAGTCATCTTATCACCTAAAATGAGTTAGCAAGTAAACATATAATTTTGGTAGCAGCACACTAATAACTGTAAGCATTAATGTAAGTCCAGTCGCTGGTGTAGGGATGATGGTGTAGTGCAGGGGTCAGGAACTCTGTTCCTTGAGAGCCATATCCTGCCTGTTTTAGATCCCTCCTTATTCCAACACACCTGGTTCCAATGATCAGCTCATCAGCAAGCGCTGTAAGAGGCCTGAAATGGTCATGAGCATTTGAATCAGGTGTGTTGCAGTAGGGAGGGATCTAAAACAGGCAGGATATGGCTCTCAAGGAACCGGAGTTCCCTACCCCTAGAGCGGGGGTCGGCAACACGCGGCTCTCGAGTTACATGCGGCTCTTTAGCGCCCCCCAGTGGCTCCCTAGAGCTTTTTCAAAAATGTTTGAAAATGGAAAAACATGGTAGGGAAATATATTTTTTTGTTTTAATATGGTTTCTGTCAGAGGTCAAACATGACACAAACATTATTAACCTTTTCCGATGCTGTAAAAATGCGTCGAATAAATATTAAATGTCAACATTTCGTCAACAAATATTTGCGTCATAGCCTGCAACACACGTTTCTATTAGCAGGACGGGATGTCAGTTAGGGGGCTGTTGTTAAAAAAAAAAACAACAAAAAACCCCAGCTGCCTTTCATGTACAATTCACCGAGGGTACTTGCTAAGAATGGGAATCTGAGCGGCCAAGAGAAGAATTTTTAAATGGTACATGTGAGCTATGATAGCACGCTGCGAAAGTGCGTCCCGTGCCTCGTTCATCTTAGCGGCCGTTACGGCTCTTGCTCATTACGCAGGGATGAGATTTTTCCGCTTTGTGGCGGAATTCCGCTTTTTTTCCAGTCAAAATGGACCTATTTTATATTGTTCCAAAGCTGTAAAAAAAATCTGGGTGGGGCGGGGGGGGGGGGGCCGGACTTTTCTTGGGCAGATTCGGGGCCCGTAATGTTTTCAAGTAACGTTTGCAAGCATCCATTTTGAATCCCGTTTATTATCGCGAAGCGTTTGTTTGTCGTTACTTCCTATATGGGCTAAAACCAATGTCTTACTTGTTGTGATTGGTCGGTATATCGGCAAATGCAAATCACAACCAATCCGTGTTCGCCTTCCTAAATCCCTTTCTCGCGAATGCCGAATGTTATCGAGACTCGCGACGAAGCTAAAGTGCGTCAGATAGATGCGGATCTGAAAAACACGTTTCGATGGGACTGGTTGGATAGAAAGCTGACGGTGTCCCCAGTAGGAAACAGTAAAGAGGAACCGTTGTGCTTGTGTCGGATTTCGTGAAAAAGCTCGATGTCGCCGGTAAAGCTCTGTGTACAGTGTGTGACGATGTCATTTATACGGATCGAGAGGATGGAAAGATTTACAGAGTCACGCAACCTCGGTGAAACCAAAAACAGACATTTTTACTGAAAAGTAACTACTCGATCTCAAAGCGCTTTTCGACAGCCTGGAGCATGTGTAAAAACAAGAGGATTTGGCTTAAAAAGAGAGTGGAAAAAGATGGAGAGGACCAATAAGCTTTTAGCGCTTGCTAAAAAGCTTAAAATGAAGAGTAAATAAAGTATTCTACCTCATGAAACTGTATATTGTTGTATATACTGTAAAGACTTTATAACTTTATATAATAAAATACATTCATAACCCATA